CCACAAGGAAGAAGCCTCTGGAGAGTGGAAGCAGCACACGCAGGTGAGTGTGACGCAAAGGAGGGGCTGCACGTGTTCCCAGAACTATGCCCCTTCCCGGGAGGAGGAGGGTTGAGCAGGGTCTTGGAGGATGCAGGGAAGGGGTAAGTGGGGGAGAGGAGGAAGCAGTAGGGCAAAGGCAAGGGACTGGAAAGCCGGCCAGCAGTAATGGGTACGACTGGGGGGACAGAGGACGGCTGGAGAGGGCTGATTATAAAAGGTCTTAGGTCTGAGTACCCTTCTGTGGCCCCCACTCTGGTTTGCCATGTCTAGAAATACCAATACTGGAATATTCTCCTCTTTATCCGTACCCCCAATTGCCCATTCTACCAGGGTCTGTGTCCGAGAGTCTGAGTGACAATAAGGTGTGGGTGACTGTTACCAAATGTCCAGTGGTACTTACGTGACCACACAGGCAGAAGGTGGGCTTGTTTTTGCCTTTTTCTTTCCTTTTTTTAAAAGGGAGTTACTTCTGGGCCTCCTACTCCGAGAGCCCTGAGGAAGCCACCAACGTTTTTCCCTGCTGTCTACAAAGAGGGCAGTGGCTTCCGTGAGACTTGGCTTTAATACAGGCCTGGCCAGGGCCTTGTTGTGACCTTGCACAGGCCTGTCTCATTTCTCCAGGTCTCAGTTGTCACGTGGGATGCCCGGATGCCACCCACAGAGGAAGGCCAGGTTTAACAAAACCAACCAACCAAACAGGCAGACACCCCAGACGCTGCTGTGGCCTGTGAGGTGCGCTGGCAAAGCTTGCTGTTCTGGCTGCCCCCTCCCCCTGTCTCAGAATCCTCGTGTGATGGGAATAAAACACAAGACGCCCAGTTAAGTTTGAATTTCAGATAAACAACAAATAATTTTTAGTATAGTAGGTTCCGGATGTTGCAGAATCGAATTACACTAAACCTTTATTCATCATTTCACTGAAATTCAAACTGTTGGGAGCAGAGAGTGAGATGGGGCTGGGCGCCTTGTGCTCGCCCTCCTCAGGGAACAGGGGCAAACGCAGATTCTTCTGTGTGCACCTTCCTGACAGGTGTACCTGACACCTGAGCCCCGCCCCTCCAGTCAGGCTCTGAAACAGAGCCACGGGAGCCAGGAGGGCAGGGCACTAGGTGTGGCTCCTGCAAGTCTTAGGAGACCAGGCTGGAAAAACAACACACACACACACAGAGGTTTATCTGAGCTCGTTAAACGCACCTGCCCAGCTGACTGCAGAAATCCAGCGCTCAGGCCTGAGCTTTCGGGAAGCAGCCCTGGGACTGCAACCATGGAAAGCCGAAGCTCCAAGACCTTAGAGGGACCCACTCCCTATTTTATTTGTTAAAAGTTTATTTCTTCCATGAGCAGAGGAGACAGAGAAGAGAGGAGAGAGAGCACACCCCAAAAGGTCTCGCTGCTGTGATCCACCCCCAACCTTTAACTGCCCAGATCAGATCTCAGGCAAGCACATTCCTGAAGAAATCTGGGCCTGAACTGGGAATGGCCCTTGTGGGACTGCTGCAGAGGGCACTATGTCTTACAACTGCCCCAGCCCGGCCCTGGGACCCACGCTTCGTGAATTTAGATACATGTTTACAATGACCATTTCTCCCCATAGCAGTAGAGTCCTCCTCTGGTCTCCCGTGGCACTGCTCAGTACGGCAGCACTACCGAAGTGCAAATGAATTAAAATGAAATACGACAAACAATTCAGTTCTCATCTGCCCTGACCACACCTCCAGAGCACACGGCTGGCTGGTGGCTGACGTGCTGGACAGTGCAGACAGGGATGGCTGCCATCACAGGACGGTTCTTGTGCTGGATGCTGGGCTGGGGGCGGGAGATGGGGAAGGGGAGAAAGCGGTGATCCTTAAGCAGCTGCTACAACACGGGCCCCAGGACCACGACAGGAGGAAGTCTTCTGGTAAAGGCAATGGAGCTGACAAGGAAGGAGCCACCTTTTCTGGAGAAAACTGTCCTGGCCCTTGACCAAGGACGAAAAAGCCCGACATCAGTTGTGTACCTTTCTGCCAACACCGGGCAACCATGGCACCCTCGGAACTCTGGGCAGGGGCCAAAAACCCCCACAGGCTCAGCAGAGCTCTCTGGCCACGGAGACCGGAAATAAGTGTTGCTGGGGTGATCAGGCTCTCTTCC